ATGTCGTTGCTGCTGCTGAGCTTCCGCTCTTGCTGCTGCAGATTCCTGCACTGCAAGACGGCGTGATAGTGTTGGGCTACCCACGAGGAGGCGACAACTTGTGCATCACTTCGGGGGTCGTCAGTCGCGTAGATGTCAACACCTACGCACACTCGAACGCCGCGTGCGCCTTAATGCCTAAGATTTTGAACTCCATTCCTTAAAGTCCAGACCAAAGAATTGAATGTGAAGCCTACGCTCGGTGCGCGAGTCACTGAGTGGGTCAAACATGTGTCGGTCGTCATTGCCGCTTTTGTTGCTGCTGCTGCCGCTGCTGCTGCTTCAGTCTGTTATGTGTGCAGATTGACGCTGCGATAAACCCTGGGAACAGTGGTGGTCCTGCTCTCAAGGAGGGCCGGGTGGTTGGTGTGGCGTTTCAGGGGTGCGAGGCCTCAGCGGCACAAAACGTCGGCTACATTGTGCCTTGGAATGTTGTTAGCCACCTGTTCACTGACCTGCAAAGGCACGGCAAGTACACCGGCTTTCCGGCGGCCGGCGTGCTCTTCCAGCCACTAGAAAATGAGTGCATGCAGCAGAAGCTTGGAGTCACCAAACTCAAAAAAGAAGATCTGCCACCTGGTGAGGCATTTGCTGCGGCTGCCGCGAGCGGCATTGCTACTCTGGCGGCTGCAGATGCGAATGATTTTGGTGCCATTACTGCTACTGCTGCTGCTGCCGCTGCATTTGTTGCTGCAGGTGTGACTGCGGGTGGCATTCTTGTGACGGCAACAGACGCCGTGCGCTCTCGCAACTTTCTGGAACGCGCGAAGGCGGCAGCAGATAAGGTTGAAGCGGTAGCAGCATCAGGCGGCGCAGGAACACCACCAGAGCCAGCAACAGATGAAGCCGCAACAACAGCAGTCCCAGCAGCAGCGAAAGCACCAAATGTGGCTGCCGCGCCCTGCGCCTCAAGACCTCTGGCGGACCCGTCTGCTCTTGTGCAGGCAGCAATAGCAGCAGCAGACGAAGCAACAGCAGCAGCTGCAGCAGCAGGAAAACCACCGCCCTCAGCAGCAGAACGCAGAGCTCTGCTGCACTCGTCTTTGGAGCAGGCCATCGGGCTGCAACAAGAAGACGTTGTTATGGCTGTCGAAGGAGCCGATGTAGCAGGAGACGGCACTGTTCACTTCAGGTTAGTTTATTTCTGGTTTGTCTCTGTCATTAGCTCTCTGTATCTCCTTTATTGCCTATGTGTTGTTTCTTCAGCCTGGCTCGTCAGTCCAGCTTGCCCTCTTCTTCGCTTGCTTGACTGTTTCCTTTGGCCTTCAGCTTTTTTGTCTCCCTCCTTCTTCATTTTGACATATAGGCTTTAAGCCAGACAAGTCGCTCGTCCATTAGGTGTCATTCCATGCTGTGTTCATGCTGCTGCTGTCGCTACTACGTAGCAGCTGCAGCTAACGTGGTTCGCGTAACGGCTGCTTGTCAAAATCCGGGCTATGTAGTTCCTTTGCTTCTTTTGATGCCATTCCGAAGCACATCACATTGTGGGGCATCAGCGGTTTCAGTGTACGTTAAAGGGTTGAGGGCGTAGACTTTGTCCTCAGGGGTATGGAAAGAGTCAGCGTTTCGCACGTAATATCTGAGAAGTTCATGGGAGAGACCCTTAACCTTACAGTCCTCAGAAAGGGGAAAGTGCAGAACGTTGTGGTAAGCCTGAATGCGCAACTACAAAGCTTAGAACTAGTTTCGCTCATAGAAAGCCTCCAAACCTTCACTTTGAGCTCACAATAGTATCTACAGTCCCCAACCTGTAACGCCAGTACGAATGACCCAAAGTTGCTAGAACCATAGCCACAAGCATGCAGTCGAAAGCGTTGAGTCTACGGGAATGCTGTGCTCTAGGCTACTATGAATAGCGTTATCCTTAACACCCTCGCACAGTATGCCAAGCTCTAAACCCTCACATTGCGGATCCATAAGCTGCCATGCAACACACTAAACCCTACGCCTTACCAACAGCAATGAAACGTTTCAGCACGTGGAAAATTCAGTGTTTTAGTCCGCCTATGATCGTTTAGACTTCTTAGGTCGTAGTTTGAGCGTCGTGTGCAAAATATTACAGAGTAGAAACTCTTTTTACAGCTGCACTCGTGCAACTGTGGAAGTCCTGTATGCTCTGCAGCCTATATCCAAAAGTAAATAGGAGTTACCGAGTATATCTGATGTACCAATCTACAGCGCAACGTATTTACAGACACGAACATACGTGTATATTTATGTGATATGCAGTAGTATGCTTGTGCTGTAGGAAGCACAATCAGTATGCAGTCACCGGCAAGTGCAGAGACGCTGCCCAAAAGCGAATACATACGCATGGTGCTTTTACATAGCATGCGCTCGGGTTTTATGACCGCCTGCAGGTGCCCCTGGAGAAAGAGCAATGCCTTATTCCAAAGCATCAGTGGGGGATTCCAGCACGCTATATTGTTTATGGGGGTTTGGTCTTCTGTCCCCTTACTTTGGAATACTTGAAGGTGGGGGAGACGGACCACTAAATTTCAAGCATTAATTTGGTAGCTTTGTTCGCCTCTACCTTTAGCTCCTCGCTACGCTGAGGTGTTGGTAGCACCTCTATGACTGTTCAGTGCCTGTTGGCCTCTTATTCGTCCTGTTTTCGTTTCTCCGCAATTTTAGTTCCGGTGCACTCCATGTCTACTTTTTCAGGACGAGTTTGGGCCGAAGTTCCACGAGAGGGCCCCCAGCTCGCTGCTACGGCCACTGTCAGAGGTTTTCGCCACTGTCGAAGGAGAGGAGCCCATTGTGCTAACACAGGTTAGAATTTATGATTCAGCGCCAAGAATAGGGGTGCCCTGAGTTGGTGTTTCTGACGCTGTGCTAGCGCACTTATTTTTGTTGCTTCAAAAGAATGCTGCTGCCCCTTCGTTGCTTATGGTGCACGATGGTGTCGCCGCTAAAAGTCGCTGCTGGTGCGTGCTGCTGCTGGTTTCGCAGATACTGGCGTCTGACCTGACCAGTGGTTACAGCGTGCGGAATTGCCTTCTCTCCTCCGTGGACGGAACAAAAGTTATTAATCTGCGGCACTTGGCGCAACTCTTGGGAATCAGAACACCCCAGCAGCAGCAGCCACACAAGCAGGAGCAGCCACAGGAGCAGCAGCAGAAGCAACAGGAACAGCGGCAGCAAAGCGAGTTCGTGACGTTTGTTCTGGAGGAAAAGTTGCAGGTAGTGTTAAACAGAGAAAAGGCCGAAGCGATGCTGCCTGAAATCCTGAAGCAGCATGCCATACACAGCCAGACTAGTGACAATTTGTAAGCATGTGGGCAGGCAGCAGCAGAAGCAGGTGGCCCGGCAGCAAAAGCAGCAGGTGGCCCTGCGGCAAAAGTGGCAGGTGACCCCGCAGCAGCGGCTTCGGGCAGCCCTGCAGTGGCCAGCGGCGACAGCGGCGATGGCAGTAGGGCGACCAACTGCCACTAAATGGCCACTACGAGGGCACTCGGCGGCTGCTCTGTAGTTGCCTGTAGCATGTTCAGTATGCAGCAGGAACTGCGGCAGGAGCAGCAATTTATGAACTTGTTTTGTCACTGTTTTTGAGCGCCCCTGCACCTCGGGGACTAAAAGCAGCCTTTCTTGGACGAACCAAAGAGAAGAGTAGACGGAAAACGCAGTCTCGAGCAGGGACAGAAAGAAACAGGGTGACGGCCACACGTACATAGCAGCGAAAGCCAAATGCAGACAGGTGAAGTCTAAAGCACGGCCATGGGATTAGCGGCCGAGACGGAAGAAGCAAAGTGATGGAGGGCAGTCTGTCGAGGGCTTCGCCAGTAGGGAAAGCCTTAAACGTTGGTGTCCGGGGCCTGCGTCTTGGTACTGATATCCAAAAACATGATATCTACACCAAGATGCTGCAGACTAAACCCTAAGCCCTTACAGTCACGTAAAACCGCTGTCACATGCCCGGTGAAGTGTAAATGTGGAGAGAAATGCTGAACTCCTAACGCCTATTCTTGAGTACCTAGCTTGCGGCACATAGAGCAGCAGCGTAAGTAGCAGCAAGATCTGCAGCACCGTAGGTAGCAGCAGAAAAAGAAGCGGAGACGAAGCTACTGCATAAATTCCAGCAGCATTAACACAAACAACCAAGAGCATCAACCGCAGCGACAGCGCCAACCGCAGCAAGCATAGTGTCCAAAAGTGTTGCTGCTGACGTCATTTGCGTCTTTAATTCCCTTCTAAAATATGTAATTAGTTTGTTTAGACTTTGAATTTGTCCGTGGGTCAGACAGTGTTAGTTCCAGAGGTAAATCTTCCGATGGGCCCCTCACTATCCGCAGCAGCGTCGGTGTGGGGCGACGGGGGCCCCCATGATTTACTCCGTTCAGGGGTGCTTTTAGTGGTTAAGGCACAAATGCCGTACGTTTCGTTGTTAAATTTCTAGGGTTTTGAACGGATGGCATAGATTTTAGAGGATTTAAAACCCCCCAGTGGCCGTGTCAAGTTCTCCCCGAGAGTCTTGCGCCTTCGTTGGAAAATGGCCAAGGTTAAAAGTAAGGCCTGGCCTAGACCCTACGTCCTAATTACCAAGGCTTGTGCCTTGAATTTCAAAGGCCTACACGACAGCCATCAGTTCAAGGGCCTACGATCTCAAAGCCGGAGCCAGCAGCTTCACTGTGTTGCCTTCCTGCATCGATGTGTTGACCATCTTGATGCGCTGTGGCCTCAAGGGCTTGGGCGTGAGGGCTTATAGTTCAGCGTTTGAGGTCAGGAGTTCATCCTGTGTGGGTTGTGTTTGTGTTTAGAGCAATCTAAGAGGCGGAAGCTCTCACAGAAGTACAACGTAAGCCCCAGTTTCAAAGCCACACGGCCTAACCGTAGACTTGAGGCCCTACAAGTAAAGTATTTCCCCATGGGTAGAAAAGCACCCCAATTCAAAACACAAGATGCAGATGCTAGCTGCTGTTGTCCTGCAGATTCAAAAGAAAGTCCGGGAGCATCGAAGGAAAATGCGAAAGGTGGCGAAGAACAAAGACGGCCCTGTTAGGAAAAGTAAGATGAGACTTGGCGCCTTCATCCCTATTGTTGCTGCTGGAGCTGCTGCCGCCGTCACTGTGTTGCTGCTGAGGTGGTCTTCCACGGCAATGTTCCATCTATGGCTGGGGCCTCTTGGCTGGCTCGTGGCGGTGGCTGGTGCTGCTGCTGCTACTTCCTCTGTTACTGCCGCTGCTTATGGGCATTCAGAGTTTCGCCGGGACCCTGGTATTCCGAATTCTTACCCTTTCAAGGCGGAACTCTTGGCGAATATAGCGCGGCAGAAGCAGGAGAGGGAGGAACAGCTGCAGCGAGAGCGGGAGCAGAGGAAGCAGCAGAAGCAACAACAACGACAACAGCGTCAAGAGCAGTCCGAAGCAGCTGCTGCAGCTGTCCAGGCAGACGGAGCAACAGACGCCGAAGCTCTGCAGCGAATCGCGGACAAGGCAGCAGCAGCAACGACGACCTTTGAAGCAGCAACAGCTGCTGGTCCTTCGGGTTCGTCTCGCAGCAGTAGCCACCACAAAGCTTCTTGCGAACCCCCAGTGGCCCGCAGAAAGCCGTTCCCCAGTCTCACGGCGGAGCTTCAGGGCTTACGATTGTAAAAGCTTAGTTTTTTTATTCCCGTTTAATGTACGTGCAGAGGCGGACCTGGCGCTTCAGTCGATTGCTTCTTCTTTGACTCTGAGCAGTAGCAAACAGCAGCATGTCGCTGCACTGCAGCGGCAGCAGCAGCAGCAGCTCCGGCAGCTCCTGGCAGCATCAGACATCATTATACATGTCTTAGACGCGCGACTGCCCCTGGCGTTTCGATGTGCGGGTCTAGAGCGATGGGCACTTCGGTAAGCTGAACGCTTCTGGATGTGCAGCACAGGCTCTAGGGTTCGACGCTAAGCCTTGCCTGTACGTGGTACTGCTGGTCTATGCTTGCATTTTCCACCTTAGGTTTAGGTTATGCTGCCTGCGTTTCCAGGGAAGGAAAGAAGGTCATCTTGCTACTGAATAAGATTGACTTGTTGCCTGCTGCTGCTCTGGCGGCGTGGCTGCATCACCTGCAGCGCAGCTCTGCGTGTCCTGTCCTGGCTTTCAAGTGCAGCAGTAGCAACAGTAGCAGCGCCGGCAAGCGCAGAGGCAGATGGTGCGCAGCAGACCCCCTCCACGCCTCAGATAAACTAAAGCGGTAAGTTTCAGTCGTAAGCCTTTGGGCATGATATCTAAGTTCGGACGTAAGCTCTATAAGTTCTTGTAATACCAGGTGTTTGTTGATGCTGAGGCTACGTCTGGTGGCAAGACAGCGTTTAAGCGTTAGAGTTCATGGCTTAAATTTTAGATTCTGGGGTCCTATGTTTCGGCTTTGCTGCAGAAGTAGTTCACACGCCTTAGGCGTGCAGCCGCTTCTGAAGCTGTTGTCTTCGATAGCCCATGCTGCAGCAAAACCGTCTCGTGGGGCTGCAGCAGCAACATCAACAGCGGAAAACGACACAGTTGCCGCCGAGAGCGGTGCCTCCGCCACCAGTTCCTCCAGCCGTCCTGCGTTCGGAGGTGGTAGCGGCAGCAGCAAGGCGTTCATGACTGTTGGGGTTGTGGGCTATCCAAATGTGGGCAAGAGCTCCGTGGTGAACGCGTTGACCCGTAGCGCATGTACAGCTTCAGTCGCTGCACTGCCTGGAAGCACTCGCCAGTTGAAGTTCATCAAACTGGACTCGCAAACACAGCTCATCGACTCCCCGGGGGTGCTTTTTGCGCCTCCAGCAAAAGAGGAGGACAGAGCCACCATTCTGCCGCATCCCCTGTCCATCCTAGCTCTACAGCAGGAGCAGCAGCAGGGGCGGCAACTGGAGAAGCCATTGGTGGCTTCTGCATCTGTGCTGCTGCAGTCACTGCTACCGGTGCCACAGATACCAGATCCTGTTGCAGTCGCCGAGGCGCTGATATCGATTTCATGCATACAGACACTACAGCGACTGTACCACTTGCCATCATTTTCAAACCCCAAAGAGGCATTGCACGCACTGGCAATGCGTAGAGGCAAGCTGCTAAAGGGAGGAACAGCAGATATAGATGCAGCGGCGAAGATGTTTCTTCAGGGGTGGCAAGAGGGGAGCATTCCCTACTATTCTTTGCCGTCAGGCTTCAGGGATAATGTGAGCTGAGACAGCTCACTAGTTAATTTAATAGCTGCCTTCTCGGTCATTTACAGTATCCAGTTAACTTCTGATGCAATTAGTCACGCTCGTCACTTTGCTTATGGTATAAAGCATCCACGCACTTAAATGTCGCTTTCGATCTGTTTATGGCTCCCGGTCTGCGCCCATTTACGAATCTTTTGATCGACCCATTTGCTTTTCGTACTGGCACTTCGTTAGGTTGTCTGCTTGTCATTTCGTCCTCTTGTTTAGTTGTTATGTATCTACTCTCCCAGTTTCTCTTCTGGGATGGAATGAGCAGACGGAATTGAAGGGTGCAATGCGTTAGAGCTGAGTTCCATTTTTCCAGCTCCATGTTTTCCTCCTTTTACCCCTGTTGTTGTTGCTGTCGTTGCAGGAGCCTGTCCGACTTGTCAACAAAAGTGATATGGAGGACGAGGCCATTGCTGCGCTGCAGCAAGAGCTTGCAGACAGGCAACTGGCGGCTCTCGGAGTCACGCCAGCAGCAGCATCGGCACCAGCCAGAGGGCCAGAAGCAGAAGCAGAAAGTGAAGACGCGCAGGCGTCTCACTCTGGGCATGGAGCGATGGTGAGCGCAGCGCAGCACGACAGCTGTACCAGCGGGCCCAGCAAAAACAGCAACAGCAACAATGGCAGCGGTGTGACGGCGATGTGATATGGTCGTTTCCATTTATATATTGAGACAGGGACCTGTATCTTTCGTTGATTGCAGCCTTGCTGACTCCTTTTTTTGTTGCTGCTGATGCAGCGCCTTATGTTTAGAGACATTGCTATGACAAAGAGACAACGGGAAGAACAGCGAGCCAAAACAGAGGTGCGGAAAAGGTTGCACGGGACAAGTCGTTCTTACCATGGTTTAGGGTTTCTGGTGACGGTGCTCGGTATAAAGTCGGAAAACTGGGGCTTGCAAACACGTAATTAGAGTTTAGCATCAAGTCTTAGGTTTTGAAAGTTTACAGGTGACGATGTGGGGTAGAGAGCCTGTGGGGAAATGCAGGCCTCTGAACGGATGGAGCATGTGGCTGCACGACAGAAGCAGCGCAAGGTATGGAATTTGCTGCCTATAGAGTTGCTGCTGATAAACGCCACTGGCCGTTGCTGCTGCTTACTGTTATTTTCGTCGTTTTGTGCTGGTGTTTGTTGCTTCTCCTTATGCTGCAGTTCATTACTACTATTCACGGGTGCTGCGTTTTGTAGCTGCTGCCTTACGTTGCTGTTATTTTCTGCTGTTGGTCGGACGAGCTGCAGTTAATTGCTGCAAAGGTGTAAAGATTTGCTACTCTTCTGTGTGTGTGGCTTCCAGCTGGAAAAGAAAATGCGTCGTGGAGAGGCGGCAGCAGTGTCGATGGAGGTGAGTGGGCGTGGCCTTCAGGGGTTTCTGGTGTTCTGCAGCCCGGAGCTAGCTGCGTAGGTGCTTGATTGGTTTCATGCGCGTGCTGTGGTTTAGGAAGACAAGGCAACTGAGGGCCAAACAGAGGTGACGGAAGACTTTTGAGGCACCTTTCCACATACAGCTGCTGCTGCTGTCATTGCAGCAGCGTTGTAGCACTAATGAACCAGTAAATGTTAACCTGCACTTCCTTGCGGTGCCTCTGGTCGTGGAAGGCTCCACTTGTCTTGGCCTTATGTGACCCATAAGATACGTGTTACGTGCTTTCGCCCGGTCTTAGAGAATACCTGGCTTCCCAGCTAGCCAATTTGTTTGCATCAAGGCGCTAGTCAGCTGACTGCCTGGAGAACTTTTCTTGCTCTTTGGGCGCGACACGCTCTAGTTGAACCGCAGGTCCTCAAGTCCTGTGGGGGCATCGAAACAGCTAATATTTTACTGACAGGCTCATCTATATGAGCTGACCAGCATTGCTCTCACCTGAGTGGATAGCAATGTGCCCTCCAGCTATACGGAACGGTAGCACTCAGGTGTGGTATTTGAGTCGTGGACTCGCCAGGCCGTAGGATTGATTTCGCACGGCAGCGTAGGACGAAATACACGCGTATTCCCCGTGTGCTCCGTATGTACAACACGTCATCTACGCAGGCGTTCCATAGTAGAAGCGTAGTACACGCAGCGCACCCCATTGTGTGTGGCATGCTCTACAGATGGCTTTGCAGAGCGGACAATGATGTCCTAGGCAGGGAGGACGTAGAGCCCTCTGCGTGCTCTTACGTGATGCCATCCCACGCCATTGACGCCTACTGTTGCGCCGTGCTTGTCACTAAAGTGGAGAACACTTCAGACTAAATCACGCTTCGCTGCTAACATGGATGGTCACATGATGTTCAGTGTGGAGTTCGTGCATGCACTGCTGTGTTTTTCAAGTGCGGATTCGGAGGATTCGAAAAAAAAATGCGTTGTGTATATCCCCAACCCAGAAGCACGCTCGGTGATTCGAGCAATTGGGTCCTACGAAAGCGACACAGATCGGCTGGGCGCATGCGAAACAAGAGGCAACACCCCTTCAGTACTTCAGTTTAGGGGAGGCAGTGTACGTTTTTGCGTTTGCCTGTACGGTTTTTAGATGGTTCTTTGGAAAAGCTTGTTTAGATCTTCGGGTCGGCCCACCAGCTGAGAGGAAGGCAGAGCATTTCTTGCTGGGGTCGTTGGCTGGTGTGGAATACGACACCATTTCCGAATTGTTCTCTCCATTTACTGCAGCTGCAAAATGCATAACCATGGATAATGTGCTCAGTATAATCGGTGTGGTTTCGTTCCACATACTTGAGAGAATCATATTCATTGCGAGTGCTCCCATTTGTACCTAACATGGGATGTATGTAGTAGCAGCAGCCTGTCTCCCGGACAGGACAGCCCCAAGCCCCAATTTTGGGGCCTTTGGTGTTTGTGTTTCCCCTCTAACATTTCAATGAAGGTAGGTGAATAGTGCAGCTTTGTTTGTTTATTCATCGCCGTGCTGTACTTACACCCCCTAGCCCTGCCTCGGCGTTGCCCCTGAGGGCCCCCACCGTACCTCCAGGAGGCTGGGGCTTTGGTTACTGGCTGACAGCTGATTCGCTCGGTAGGTCGAATTTGAAGAAAAGCCAGTGCTGTTCAACACCATTTGGATTCTTGAGACTCCTGGTGGCTCACCTATGGGGCAGTGGAGAGCAGGGAGAGCCTGAGTAGCACTACCAGCGCTGCTGCAATGCAGACAGTTTCGAAAGCGTGCCGAAGGCCGCCAGAATTGTTGAGGGGTCTTGAGGCCATTGCTGTAGGCGCTGAGGGCATTGGTTCCGCTGGGATACGCAATGTGTTTTGACTTGCAGCTGCATGAAGCAGCTGCTCGTGTTGCTTAACCCGTTTTTGCTTGTACTGCAGCTCGTTGTAGCCTACTTTAACTGCTTCCGCGTGCCCTTGTCATTTTGTGTTTTTTTTTGAAGCATAATGTGTCTGCTGAGTTGTATAGATGTGTCTATGCACTTTTGTTTGCAGATTCGATATCTGGGCTGCGGAAAGAATGTCAACAGAAGAACCCCAGGCGGTTGTGGCTGCAGCTCCCGAAGAGAGCGCAGCTGATTCCAGCACAGGCAGCAACAGCAACTCTAGCACAGCGGAGGCGGTAGCTGCCGCAGCAGCTGCTGCTGCGGCGGCGGCGCAGCTCGCTGCAGCTAGCAGTTCCCCTGAGGTCACGCTTACCGGACAGCTGTTCCCGACTCTCTTCGTAGTTGATTTCTCCTTTGTAAAGGCAGGCAACATTACGGAGGTGGTTGAGTGAGTGCTGAGCCCCTGCCTACATCGCCTCACAATGCTTGTGTATGTGGACATACATCTCATCTCCTGCAATGCGCGTTCCTCGAGCTCAGTTTCACTACACCAATGAGCAGGCGTCCGAAATCGCGCTATTTGGTGCATGAGCGTGTTGGTATCACTACTGGGTCTGCTGTGGCGTCGGGTATATTTAGAAGATTCCAGGAGAGCGTCACGTGAAAGCTTGCAGCCTTGGACTTCGCTCATCATCTCCGTCTTGTTTTTCTGCAGGATATCATGGATTGTTTTTGATGTGGCAACGCGGCAGTCCTTAGAGGAGGTTTCTGTTCTTGTCCGCCCTGAGCTGTTGTTGGCCCCAGCCGATCTCCTATCAAGTTTGGGGGTAACACAGGAGCAGCTTTTTACGGCTTGTGCGCATGCAACCCCTTTAGGCCCCTTTCATTTTGTCTCATGCATGCGTGCTTCCCACAGTGCTCAGATTTCCTTTGGAGCACCTTTGTGCAAGGCACACAAAAGCTTCGCGGCACCGGTTGCCTTCGTTAAGTTGGACTTGGGTGGCACGCACCCAACTGACCTCCGGTGTTGCGTGCACGATCTGAGTCAACGGCTGTGCTGCTTCGTCTTGCTGCTTAATTGACACAATAAGTTGTTGAGTGGCTGCATAAAGGGGCGTCTGGCTTTAGACCGTATCTGCTGTGGCGGAGAGCATGTGGTGTGGTACACGCAGCGCCACTAGGAGAAGCTATTCAAAAGCTGGACACGGCTATATTCCAAAGAAGCCAAGACGGCGCGAACCCAGCAACACTGTGCGTTTATGGAGTAGAGAAGTTGAAGGAATTCAGGACCTGTGCTGCCTCGCGCCAAGTGACGCTATATCCGCATTTTGCAGAAGTGGTGGTGCTGAAACGTGTCATCGAACAGTTCATGAACAGTAAGTTCAAGCAAGCAGGCCACTTTACTTGGAACGGAACAGCTGCGATAAACGTTTTCCCACAGGAGCATGCAGTGAAGTGGAGTGGGGGAAGTTTCGGGCTATTCCTCATGTGCGAGTGAGATGGCGACTTCACGACGCGGCTTGCAGAGATTTTGTCTGGACGAAGTTACATTCGATCTTGACATTATCTGTGTGGTCAGACGTTAGTGCGCCAATCCTAATGAAACAGTTAGCGTGTTTAGTTGAGAGCGTTGGCTCGATGCGACGAGCACTCCAGCCTGGCTGTGCTGAATGATCCATATAGCACGTTCTGTTGGACGTTCGCTCCACTGAGACGCATTAAAGTTTTCCCTCGCTGATCACCATTGGCAACGCTGAGACTAAGGAATAAGTAGGGCTTGTCAGCGCTGTTCCTTCAGTGCGCTTTCTTCGATTGTACTGAAAAGATTGGGATACTTCGGGGAGTGTGGTTCATGAGGCGCATTTTTATTTTTTTGTAGGCTGGTTCCCATGGTTCTTCAGTGAATGGGGAATTGTTTTCGAAGTTTTTTCGGTTTGGGCAGGACGAGTTTTGTTGGAGCTCTACACATGCCTTATGTGGAAGCCGAACATCAGCGCACAGCTTACTATGTTGTTAGGTGGTCATTTGGCAGGATGAGTCCGTGCAGGATGTCCATTTTTAACTGTTGTCTTTGCGTTGTTTATTTGCTTAATACTCTTTGTCCGTCGGTTCTGGCAAGGTGGTAATTGCATGCGTGCTGTTACTGAAACATCCTATGTTTTTCTGCCGAGCCGCTAGCATATATCGAAGGGCTAAGACGCGTTAACCTGCAGGCGGAGGGTGCTGATGATGGCGGCGGCAAAAATTGTGCCTTCGTGGCCTGCAGGATGCGTCTGGTTTAGCATGGTGGAGCCCGTTTGCGGCGTAGCTTGGGTTGTGTGGGGTCTTCGGTGTTCTTGTTTGCAGTAAAGGGGGATGACTTGAGGAGCTTGGGCACGGCTGCGGGCGCGCTGCATTTGGCAGCACCGGAAGGGAGGGAGGAGGGGTTGGCGGCGTGTAGGTGCATGTGTGCCATTTTGTTTCTGCTGCTCTCTAAGGGTCTGGTGCTGCTTAAGGAGCACTGCGTGAACGTTGAGGATCCTCCACGACAGACCCCCAAACCTTTATCAGCGCCTGCATCAAATGGAATTCCTGGCGTTGGGACACACATCCGTTTAAGGGGACTACCGTGGGATGTAAACGAAGACGCAATTATCCGCTTTGTAAAACCCGTGGTCGAAATCAGGGAATCAGATGTCTGCGTCTGCGTCGGCCTTAACGTGCGTGCATTTACTTTCTCCCAGCACAGTAGTTTTAAGCATTCACAGGCGGTCCTAAGTATTGTTTAAAATATTGGTCGGATCATCTGCGGAAGTTGGAGGAATAGAGGCACGAGGACGCTTTGTTTATGCGCTGGCATGATTTCACAAGTGATAGAACCTCACTTCATTTTGTGCCAAGGGGAATTACGGCGGAGTATGTGGGACATTTTGATGCTGCTGCTGGATGGTGGGCTCTTCAGAAACGCGTAACGGGGGAGGCCTACGTGAACGTTCACACGACGGAAATGAGGGACCTGGCGGTCCGGATGCTACACGGCCGTATGATGGGTGCGCGCTGGATAGAAGTGAGTGGTCTCACTGGCTGTCTTCCTACAGGAAGCGGCGTGCATTTTGCGTATTATATGTAGGGCGTCTGGGAACGCCAGAGTCTATGCAGATGGATGAGAACGATGATATCCATTGTTGCCCCTGAATTGGATTAGGACCGTCCGAACCGGACCTTCCATGCGTGGTCACATTGACGCTGCTTTTGTGTTCACCAGGTATTCCGATCCAGTGCGGAAGACTTTGAGAGGGCCCAGCAACGGCGAGTGGCGATGCTGAGCTCGGACAGCCGGGATGGCCGCGATGCTGACGTTAAGGTGCTGAACTTGGTGAGTTTTGGGGTTGATTTCCCAGAAGCATGCATTCATGACTTCTTCAAAGCCTGCGTTCCTGGTGCAGTAATCCTGATACAAGGATCGAAGGAGACATTGGGAACGAGGGTGAATCGATGTTTTGGATGGTTTTACTGCAGACCGTCCTCAAACTGCGGGGACTGCCGTGGACTTGCACTGAAATGAATGTCGTCAACTTTTTTCAAGGTGCGCCTTCACACGCTATAACAGCCCGTATGGCGTATGGCAGAGCTGCTCATTTGTTTTTCAGGCTGTGTTTTAGGAACTGGCTGCTATGTTTCACTTCAGAGCATGGTTTTGAGATTGGGCTCGACTCTGTCGTGTTGGGCGTCGCGGTGGACGGTAGGATGAATGGTATTGCGTACGTTGAACTGCCAGACGCAGCCACTGCAGATGCAGCGAAGGAGAAGTTGCACAGGAAATACCTTGGCCGCCGGTTTGTCGAGGTGCGGCTGCGGAACGATGCACGCCATAGCAGGCATTTCGTGACAGATGCGCTGCATCGCACTTATGTTTTGAACAGTTGGATAATTTTCTGGTTTCCGCTACTTAGATTTCGTTAGTTAGATCTAACTGCAATGCATTCGCTGCGCGCTTGCTTCGGTACCTTTAGGTATATCCGTCAACTCGAGAGGAAATGCATAGAGCAAAGCGGCCTGGGAGGATCATACCACCTGACGTGGGTGTGGGTGTGGGTGCCATGCGCATGCCCCGTCCAGTAAACGTGAGATATAGGGCTAGATTATGCTCGGTCACTCTTTCGTGCTAAACTGCTTGTTTATGCTCATTGGCATGAACACGCGCTTGCGTACTATTGTTTCTTGCGTGACAGGCTCGTATGATGGGGGCCACTGCCCAGGGACCCTATAGCGGAGGTTACGCGCCGGCGCCGCAGCCATACGGAACCATGGCGACAGGTATGGGATCCGCTCAAGGTTACGGGGGCATGGATGGCATGGGGGCGCCACAGGGAGGCTATGGTGGCTATGGTGCCCCCAGTGATATCTACGGAGGGTACGGAGGTGCTACTCAGCAGGCGGCCTACACCCAATCACCTGCACAAGTTGTGCAGAGTCCACCTGTACAGGATGTCGCTCCTATTCCCGTTGGATGGAATTATACTGTCTTGAGACTCAGAGGAATGCCATTCAATGCAAATGAGCAGCACATTGTGGTGAGAGAGCGACGAAGTGGAACTTCGGAAGCATTTGAGCAAAGCTCATGGTAGTTCAATTTCTGGCTGGAATGCCTTCTCGGCTCATGGGTGCAGCAGCTTCTGTGTTTCCTTCTTCAGCAATTCTTCCAAGGTTTCCACATGACAGCCATTCTTCCCTCAACTATCCCTATAGATGGACGGCCTTCTGGAGAGGCGTACGTTCAGTTTTCGGACGTTAGTGAAACCTGGCGAGCCCTGCAGGCAAAGAATGGTGCTCGGATGGATCGGCGGTATATTGAGCTTTTCCCTGCAAGCAAGCAGGAGATGACCTTTGCAGCACAGGGAGGGGACCCCCGAGGTGAGTCAATTGACAGGTTCCAATTAACATCTCTTCAGGTGCACTTGCACTTAGCATATAGACGACTGGCCATCAAAGGGTCGGCTGGTTTGGCCTGATGGGACGTGAATTTCCCTTGGGGCTGCCGTTGGGGCTGCCATAACAGCTTTCAGCTAAGGCGTGTTTAGCTGTGTTTGTGTGGTCCCTTGCACTTGTTGCTTCAGCGTTCAGAGAACGAGACCGGACGTTTTAGCTCTCGGCATCCGATTGTTCCTGTTTTGGGCTCCGCAAAGAGTGTGGGATTCGCAGCAGCAGGTTCGTGCTGCAAGTGGTGAAATCGCGGTCGTTGTTGAGAGTCTTACAAACAAGTGGCTTTGAGGAGCTTCCTGCGGATTAGCAACAGATTAGCAACTTGTCACAGGCGATTCTCAATGGCAATAACGATGCGAACGCACTGGATTGTACCTATTGTTGGAATTATGCGGACACCCCAGTCACAAGCCGCTGCATTCTTGTCTGTGTCCCATGCGAAGGCGCATGGTGTGAGGTGGTCTCCACGTCGCTGCTGAGCATTGCCTTGTTAGTGAAAGACGGATCGTGGGGCTGGTATTTTAGCTAACATGCGCTAGCTACACGCGAGAATTGACTGCGCTCTTTTTGACTTCGAGTATCTGGCTACGTTGTTCTCACGTCATCTTTAGGGAGCACTATGTGAAGAGCATTTCGGGCGCCAAAGCCACGTGTATGTAGTGCCAGTGCATGCTGTTGTGTCTCGCCATCGAGCTCATAGAGAGCGTGCTGAGCCTCATGCTATCGTAAGGATTGTTTTATTTTATTAGGGGGATCAGTTGAGTGCACTTCTTTCGAGCTAGGGCATAAGCAGATATGCGTAAATTACTCGTATACGGACTGGTCAACACGCGTACGTGTCTGAACTGTATTGTAGCATCAATGATGCGTGCCAAGTTGTTCTTATTTTAATGGGCGGATTTTGCGGAGACGGCTCTACAGCGAAACGTACGATGTGCGCAGACGCCACAGGTTAAACCCTTGCAGCACGAGACACTTCATATTTTCTGGACAACTTCATAGACTTTCGTGAAGTTGAGCCAAATGATGCGTCCAGGACAGGACAGCTAGGCAGTGGGCACGCGGCAGAATATCTAGAGTGCCACCTGCCCATCCAGAAGCAAGTGGCGCACTTCCTCCTCTCAATGTCTGTTAAAACCGGCTGCCGCCGCACTAGTGAGGGTCAGGAGAGAGCCCTGCTGCGCTGATCATTCCGTGAGAAAGCACCCACGGCAGCTTGCATCTTTTCTGCTCCGCGTCATCCAGGATAAATGTTGGATACGTCATGGCTCTGATGCCAGCCTGCCAAATGTTGCGCAGACTTCTCATGACAAATAGCTGGAAAGTCCCTGCACCCGAATACCCGCGTTGCTGCTTTCTTCCGCTGCAACTTGACTGACTCCGGACGACGCGAAGCCGCAAAAAATACATAGTGTAATCAGTACTGCATATGATGCTAAAGTGGCTATGCAGAGGAAAAACATATGCGAGCTTCAACACAGCATCTAGGGGATACACTGCTGCTTCCAATGTAAAATTGGGCACGTCCCAAAAATTGCTGTAGAAGAAGCCACATAGAAGCCCTTGTAGGGGAGCCTCTGCATGATGCCGAATGCACAAAAATATGCGAGCTTTGACACTGCATCTAGGAAATACACTAATAGCAAGCATGTGAAAGTGGGAACGTAGACGGTCCCAAAATCACTTCAGGAGCCAAATTAACAAGCTTCTAAAAGCCCCGCCCCCTTTGCATAATCCCGACAGCACATTAATTGAAAAGCATAAAATTGTGGAGGATTACAAGAGCTCACGGCATCGCAAAACTTTGCCGGTGGGTGAAGAGTATTTTACGTGGGAGGCGGCAGCGCTGGGTTTCCACTGACCAGCGTGTTTGCTGCAAACTTCACCTCTAGGTTGTCTCCGAGGTGCCAGAAAACATCCTATCATCTTCCCGCCAAAGATCCCACAGTCTATTCTCAAACTGACAATTGACGCACAAGCGTGTAAATATCATCTGTTTCAGTTGAACAATCTCTTCAAGCGGTGGGCGCACTCCTGTCTTATAAATGGACAATGCAGCACTCATACGGGCAGTCCACTCAACCAGACTGTTGGTCTCTGGTAATGCATATCGCTTCTTCGGAATCTCATAGTCTGTATTCATGCCCTGTACAAGCGGGCGCCACCAACTTTTAGCATCCATTTTGTCCCCAAGCAGCTCGATCGTGCATACCAGGTAATCAAGTGCCACAAGCATTGATGCCAACTTCTTAGCCACATAGGTTGGTGCCTTTGTTTTCGTACTCTTGCACAACTTTTTTTTTGCATAATTGGCCAACCGTTCAGCTGTAGTCAAAAGCAGCTCGACCTCTTCAGCATTTAGTGCAGGCTTCGCAAACAGGTCACGCATTATCACATACATCTGCATTGGGCTTGTGTCACCTACATAATTTCCCAGTACACACTCACTACGAAACCTCCGGTGGATATCTTTCCGAAGAACCACAGGCAGCCGCACAAAAGGATGCAAGCTTATGTCCCTCGAAAAACGCCTCCTTTTCGCCTGCTGGCTTTCCGGCTCAGCGGCATCAGAGCTCAACACCTCCGGCTCCCGATGCATGTCAGCTACATCTCCTAGTGCGTGTAATGCTTGCTGTGCGTTTTCCTCATAGGCTTCCGATGTGTGCCCCACAGCTGTGGGTTGAGTATCAACACAACCACGGCCATTTCTGCATGCATATTCCAAACACGATCCTGATGAAGAACACACTTGCTCGGCAGTCTTTGAGGCCAATGCACCCCAGGTTGCTGTCATGTGTGCGCGCTCCTGGAGTGCCGCCTCTACTGCTTCATCGCGGGGGTTTTGCTGTATGCCATGCGAACTGAATGCAGGTACAATCCCTAAGGTCCAGCTTCCTAACTGTAGACCCCTACGACGTCTTGCGTCATCTGTGTTCGGGGATGCCGAACAAGCAGCAGGCGGTGGCGTCAAATGCAGCGAAGGCACAAACTGTTGCGTGGTCAACTGCTCCGAATTATCGACTGAAGATTGACCAAAATTGCTCATCTGTGCTTTTTCCATCTCTTCATTTTCAAAAAGTAACTGCGGAATAAATCCCAGCCAGGCATCTGGAGCTAAAGCATCGAAAGCGTTGCTATTTCCATTCTCGCGAGGCAAGGAATCGCCAGCTAGCACTTGTTGCTGTGCGGTGGTGTGTGATGAACCCCCAAATCCACGATCACTTCCCTCGTTGGTAGCGTCATCGCTGTCACTCTGTCCAGCCGAAGGCCATTCAGGCCTTTGATCCGAGTGCCACTGGATCGCCTGTCCAAACGGTTCATAATTCTGGCCGCCCCACGAGAGCGAAGTTCCTTCAACTGCACTAGATTCCATCCCAGCGAATCCCCTAGAGTTGTCGTGAAATTCTCCACCAAATCGAAGAAATCTCTGATCGGTGTGTCGATCGATAAGTTCGGTAGGCTCATACAATTGCAAAGGCTGCCCAGACCAATTTCTCCCTTGAAGCACAGAAGCAGCGCGATGAAGACGAAGGTCTTCCTCCAGCGAAACACAACTTTCTAGAACATCAGAGAGCTCGTTATCTCCCCCGATGTCTGAAAGAATACGTCGTTCCACTCCCGCCCCCCGTTTCCCGACATCAGCGGCCAGACACAGGGCTAGAAAAGCCACAATAGCCACAAGGGAAGCCACGGAAGCAAATAACGCAAGCGAGGATGAACAACATGTGCGCTGTCGTCTTAGTCTCCGTCCGGCGAAAACCCGAAGCTGGCCTGGGTCCCTTGATCCCGCAGAGCTCACATTGTTTCGAACTACTTCTGCCATATGAATCACGGAGGGTTTCAACAGTGCATGCCTCTCCCCCTCTGAAAGGTGATATCTTCCGGCCATCGCGCCAAGGGATTCTTGAGCAACAAGAGCACGAAGACACTAATTACTCATTGACTCTGGAAGTGGCATCGAGCAGAAGTGTCTAACATTATCCTACAAGCGCACTGTTTTCGCACTTTCCTGGTGCATTTAGAAATGGTTCACATAGTTCACTCTCTCTACGGATACATAAGCCCATAAGCTCGCACTTTTTGGTATGTGATGACGCAGTTTATAAAGACACTCATATTTTTCCCAGGGCTTCGTAACCCACCCTTCGGCGTGCTGCGCGCCGTTTCTTAGAAGTCTAGGACCCACAGCACGACTGCTAGTGTAATGCCTCCGTTGCCATTCCTTCACCTGCACTTTTCTGACGCAAAACTTGCTGGAGTTGGTGGATTAAGCGCTGCAGCTATACTATGCAGCGATCTGCCTCTCATGCAGTAACTCCGATGCGGGTGCAGCGGTGAGTTACGCCGGCTCCAGTGCACTGCCAAAACTGTAGTGCGATCAGCGCCAGCACAGTGCATTGCTTCTGCTTAGTTCAAAATGATTGCGAAGTTCATGAAGTTTTGGCGCTAGCAAGTGCCTCCTTTCGCTTTCCTTTTTTGGTCAACAAGTGAAGTGCTGTGGCTTCCGATCTAGGCATCCGTTTGCTCCGCCGAACCTCGAATTTCGCCTTGATATAGCCTAGATCGCAATGTGATATTTTTTTTTGATTCCTGCGAAGACTGTTTTATGTCGCCCACTGTTAACTCATTCGCACCGTTTTCTCAACAATGGCTGCAGTGGACCCCGAATGGGCTGCCTGGTGATTTACACTGCCCAGCTGCAGATGTACAGTGTTAAGTTATCTCACTGACAAAAAAACTTTAAAACCTTTTTTGGTCATGCCAGTGACTACGCGTCCCCGCTCAGTCACTTGTATTCACACTCCAGCCATTGCTGAGAAAACAGTGGGATCAAAGACCATGATGCCATATTTGTGGCGTGGCCCACCTAAAACATAGCGACAGGTAGTAAGACAATATGGCGAGACAATATCTACAGGACAATTTAGGGACTAAAACAGCCTTAGTTTAATGTCTAGCCAAAAAAGTATCCAATGTCACGCCCACGCCAGGGAGCGGCACAGACGCCTAGTCTCTTTTCTCCGTGAACCCAGCAAGCATCACGAACAAAATGGGGCTGTTCATCCAAAGTGGATGCAATCAACATTACAAAACTGCTCTGGGATTCTAAATTGGTTAGTCGGGATCTACAGCACTCGCTATCCCCTTATGCAGCACGATACGAAAAGTCAGAGTCAGAAACACACATACACCTACTCAACGGTAAAATATTAGGTGCAAAACTGAATCACTCCACTGCGGCTTCTTTGGCGGGCACGTGAAGGTCGCGCGTAACGTGTAGCATGAGTTTGGAAGCATGGAAAGTGCAGTGGCAAAAGCACACTGGCGAAGGGACGAGTAGCTGTTGAATAAGGCCTGTAGGTTTCTGGTTCAGTGACTTGCACGCACGACAGTGGGTACATGGTACCACATACGCAGTAGTGCAGACGCATGCCTGGCCAGTAGTAGTACTTCCTCAGAGTCGTGAAGGTCTTCTTCTGGCCTTGATGGCGGGCTGTCACATGGTCATGATGTGAAAACAGAACGTGTGTAAGGAAATCAGGGAATTGTGGGGCGCGGAATCTCCATATTCCATGAATGCAGACGTGCAAGGGAGGCCGCGCATAACGAAAGATAAATTGGCGATTACGAAACTCTATCTGTATAGCATCACCGGGTTGCTTCGCAGCGGTTTCCAAGCCCTCAGCACTGATGGTATAGCCCAAGTATGTGAGCGCCTATTTTGCAAGCTTGCATTTGCGAAACTTTTGGTAGAATTGATGTTTGAGGAAACTACTTGGGTTTGTCGCCGGAGAGAAACGTGCCCAGGGAGGTCAGAACTATAGATGAGAACATCACTTAGATACGCTATGATGCCCTAGCCTGATAAAGGTTGTATATAGGCATTAGTATTGGCCTGCAAAGTCTCTGGCGCACCCTTGAGGTCAAAAGGCATAACTCAATACTCGAATAACCGCAGAACGGAACGGGAGTCCGTCTTCCAGCGACCCTCCTTAGCCATACGTATCTGGTGGAATCCTGTTTCAAAGTCAAGAGTAGGAAAATACGTGGCACCTGCCAGCATCTCCAGAATGGTTTGAATAGGAGATAGCAGAAAATCAGGGGCTATTGTAAGGGCATTCAAAGCCTGATAATAGACACACATACGCATCTTTTGCTCCCCTGAACCATCATCGCGCTTGTCCAGCACAATTGTAGGAAAGCAGATAAGCAAATACTTTGGACCTATCCATCCATTGTCCAACAATTTAGCTATCTCCTATTTGTGGAATTTAAACTGATCTGGTATCATACGGTATATCGCAGATTTCGCCGGTAGTTTCCTAGGTGCCAGTAGGATATGAGGATCTTGAGGGCGCTCCGGCAGTAATCCCTTACGCAAAATGTCGAGAAAAGCCGCCTGATACTCCTGCAGCACCTTCATAATCTCAAAGGAGATATCGTGTGCCTCTGTCGACTTTGTCCACTCGTCGAATTGTGGATGCTCCAGTTTAGCGGTACGCCAGGGTGACTCCTACTCATCGTCCGCTGTCGTTGAGACGGCGCTTGCCGGATGTAAGTCTGTTTCCACTCAACGCGCAGCATCACGCACCTTGCCATTCGTCCGAGAACCTCCGTGCCACAGGCGAGCGAGCTTCGGGAAAAGCCAGTCTGAGATACAAACCGTCCAATGGTACCCTGAGACTCGTTGCGTCAGCATTCGCCTGACGGACAAGCGACACTATCAGTATCTTTACTTTTTTTGTCGCATGGGGCTTGTATCTTTTGGGTAGTGGGCGTAAGAATATGGCAGCCTCCTCTGCTGACATACCCGCGACTTGCTTCACCAACATCCCATATGCTTGCTCGGCAGGGGTCCTTGAGTGTACTACGATAGAGTTGTCTCCCTGTTGTTTTTATTTACTGTTCCTGGCGGCAGGTAGCTCACACCACTTTCCATTCACATAGGTTCTTAACTTGTCTAACTGAAAGTACTAGGACACCTTACTTTCAGCCAGCCAATCCAGCCCAAGTACTGAGTCACAGGGAACACGCAATACTAAGAAACCTTTATAAAAGCGTGCATGTCAGCACCACATTATCAACCCCGTCACGACACGATCAATGCGCAACTGTTCACCGGTAGCCACTGTAAACCTATGCTCTTCTGGAAGTCGCCGCACCTTGAGCTGATGCCATTCGACTGTTTTAGGACTCATAAAGTTTCTCGAGGCCTCTGTGTCCAAGAGCGCCTCACACAGACTCCCTGCCACACCAAATTGTTGCACCGCTGTCGCACCCACAGAACACACTGCTCCCCCTTGGTGGTAAGTTTCCTTCACACAAGTCTCCCGCCACCACTGCGGCACACTCTCTGGTGCTTCTGGCCCGTAGCCCTTTTGTGCTACCTCTGTTGGCTTCCCGCTGCTGTCCGTCTTCTCGTACGGAGCCTCTTCCCTCCGCACCGGCGCAGGCCCAGACTCTCACCGCGTTTCCGATGGCGGCTGAGTCCTTTGCGCGTCTTCATCTCTTGTATTAGCTCTATCGTCCGTGTTGAGGAGTTTGTTCCACCACTCGAGAGTGACGGAAATGGCATTAGGGCCAGTCTCTACCGCCCGCATCATTCCCTTGCAGTGGGTAGGTGGCCTAGAAAGTTTGTGCACAATCACGCTTACCCCCTGTCGTTTAAACCGTCAGTCCTCTCAGCATTGGGGCGAGTGGTCTGTCTACTGCTATTGCCCTCTGTCTCACTCCTTCCTCGGTCGTACGTAAGACAGCCCCGATCATTTTGTCCCATACCTCCACACTTCTTACAGGCCTCCCTCACACCCTTAGTACACTCCCCCTTGTTGGGACAAACGTGTAGTGCACAGCAACTACTGCTGCGACTACGCTGCTACCTGCACCCTTGAGTAGGGGCCTACGATAACCGTCTACCTACGGCGCATTTCCTTGAAACAGTAACCGAAATATCATGAAAAACGTTTATTCAATCTGCTCTTTTAAAATCCCCCCCCACTAGGGATTCTCGCCTCCTAGGTCCTGTGCCTGTGCCTGTGGGGAGGAGGCCTGCACCGGTGCCGGCGCTGTCGCCAGCCCCAGTCTCCGGGTATTTACAGGGACGTCTAGTGTATACACGCTAATTCGCCGACAAATTGCCTTACTTCGATTCTAGTAAGAGGGTCCTGTCCTCGTTCCGTGTTATGACCTCTTGTAGGTCACAGGCTAGCTATCTTTCATAGGTCCCCAGCAAGCCCTATTGTAGTGCCTGTGCACTACAACTTCCCCCCTTGCCGGACTGAAGAGACCTACCCCAAAACACGTTATTTTTACCTTTTCAATTTCCATTCTCTTCTGGAGCTGACACCGTGAGCGCATGCGGTGCGCAGCGCTCCCTCCCCTCTCCTCGTTGAAGGTTGCCCATCCTGCACGCGGCGCGGCAGAAAGTGACGCGCCCACACCTCTACGCCTCGGAGAGACCAACATTGTTTCGAGCCTGAAGACATCTTCGTTGGCGGCGGCGCCAGGTGCGAAGCAAAGCCGGGCAGCCTGTAAGATGGTGAGCGTGCTCCCATGTGGCTGGATCTTCAGGGGTCCCGCGCCACTTCACGAGGTACTGGGCTTCATCTCCCGAGCCGCGTTGGTCCATAATACAATCGGCTTCATTCTCCTCTGTGGTATTCCCTGTTGCATCGCGGATAAGAGGCCAGGCAGCGTCGGCTGCCGAGGGAACTAAAGCGGGAGGGCGGGGGCGGTGGGGAACTAGCTGCGAAACGTGGAAAACGTTATGGCATTCATAAGTGGGAGGCAGAGCGAGACGGTAAGCGACAGTTCCTATGCGTTCGATGACTTCGAAGGGTCCGCGGTAACGGGGCTCGAACTTAGGGCAGCAGTGGAAAGGCGGTAGGTGCTTGCTGCTGAGCGCTGAGCCAGACCTTGTCTCCCTCCGCATACTCCACTGCTCGGCGCTTTGTGTCTGCGTAGTACTTCTGCTGCCATTTTGCCTTCAGGATGTGACTCTGTGCTCTGTCGCAGAGCTTTCGGAAAAGCTTAGTCATCGGAGGAGTGAGCGTGGGAGCTAACGCGCATACGATCAAGGTCCGCAGCAGTCAAGGGGTTCTCGCCAATCATGACCTCGAAGCGAGAGCCCAGTGGATGAATGACTTTTTGTGTTGTAGGCAAGTTCCAAGGCCGGAAGCAAACGCTCTCACTCGCGTTCGTCAGACTGCATGTAGGTATGAAGCATCTGCTCCAGTGTGCGGTAAACCCTTTCAGTTTGGCCGTCGCTTTGGGGATGGTAGAATGAGGACATGCACCGTTTGATGTTAAAGCGGCGAAAGAGCTGGTTCCAAAGATCCGAATGGAAGCGGGGCTCCCGGTCCGATAGGAGCACCTCTGGAAAACCGTGACAGCGGATAAGACGCTCTGCGAGAAGCTCCACGGTGTCTGCTGCTGTGAATGGCTTCTTTGCAGGAACGAAATGAGCAATCTTGCTGAGGGAGTCGACCATCACGAGAATCCAGTCGTGCCCTGTCTTTGTAAGGGGAAGATCCGTGATAAAGTCGAGACTCACGTATGCCCAGCGACGAGAAGGGATGAGCAACTGTTGAAGAAGGCCTGCAGGTGTCTGGCTCAGAGACTTAGAAGTATGACAGTGAGTAGAGGAATCAACATAGGCAGTAGTATACGCGCGCATCCCTGGCCAGTAGTAGTGCTTGCTCAGAGCCGTGAAGGTCTTCTTCTGGCCTCGATGGCCGGCTGTGACATGGTCGTGATGTGAATGCAGAACGTGAGTAAGGAACTCAGGGA